AATTTTCTGATCTGTGAAATGGGGATAAGACAAGTGCAGGATATATAAGGGAGAAATTATATATATATAAATATATTAGGGCAAAATTATATGTCTTTGTAGCGTGCCTGCTGTATAGTTCGAGCCACACGGTTGGTGGTCGCTAGCGTCCCTTATCGCCAGTTTGGGTGCACAGTAAGATTAGAATGATTTAGAACATTGTCCAACTACTCAGCAGTCAGTAATGAAGCAGTTGGCTCATTTCTAACCCCATAAACTGAGAGGAAAGTTACCTGTTGTAGTTAAACTTCTTGGCCTACTGGGGCTGCTGGGAGACAATATGAAATACAGGAACACTTGTGTAGAGAAAGGCTTTTTCAGAATAGTCCAGCCGTCAGGTGTCTGCATAGACTGCTTGCCTGGGGTATGTTTTGAATTCTGGGTTATTTCATTACATAGAACAGATCCGATTTGTCACTGATGACCCAGGCGTGTGCCTCCATCTGCCCCGTTGGCCTCAGCTCTGACAGTTGTGATTCAGGCGGGGAGGGGGTGGGGAGGAGGGGGGACTGGTGATCCAAGTGGAAAGAAAGTGGTAGGCTTTTCCTGAGCCTTCCTGGGACTCGCACGGCAGCAGTGCTTACGCTGTGTACGTGGGGTGGTACTACTGTTGTCCCTTCTGTCTTTCAGATGAGAAATCTGAGGCTTAGGTAAGTTAGTACGTGCCGGGACTCAAAAGCCTGACCCCCAAACACATATTCTGCTGCACTCCATAGGTGGGCTGTATTTATTTTGTCAGTGTTTTATTTTCCTTTTTCCCATTTAGAGAGGTGTATCAGAAACCAGATTCTTAATTGTATTTAACTAAATTAACGAAACACAGGTCCTTGGGAATCCCTTTGGAGATTAGCTATTTTGAATTAAGTGGTATTTGAGGAATATTTTGCCACACTGCTTGGAGAACACTCACTATAGCCAATATTTAATTAAAATACCTTGTGCATACTGGTTATTTTTTCTTCCAGGGCCATTAAAATTTTTTTAGCTAAAAAATTTTAAAATTAGTTTTCTTAAAAAATTTCACTGTATTCTTGAGTGAACAATTTTAGTTAAACATGAAATGTATTTGTTTGCTTGTTTGGGTCACCGTATGAAAATGTAGTAAGGTCAGTAAGGAAAACTTTAATACGACTGCTGTCTTCATCTTCCTTTTCCTGTTTTTTTTTCATCAACTGGAAAAGAAAGATCAGTTCTCCAGCCTGATGTGATAAGCATGTTTTGGCGAATTGATGCACGATTAATCAGTTTCTGTTAAAACTCTCCTGTGGAGATGTGTGTCCATATGACTTTGTACTTCTTCCCATATCTAACTGCCGGTTTCCAAGCTTTTACCGCTCCCTTGTCTTTTATGCCTTTATCTTTGTTTATTTGAAGTAGGTGCTCTCTGCTACCTCTTTCACTTGCTCTTTTTCTGTGCCATTCTTTCCCTTGCTACCCTGTCTAAAACCAGGCCCTAGAGAAACAGAAAGAATACATTGCCTGCCTTAGGAATGAGCGAGATACGCTCAGAGAGGAGCTGGCTGACCTGAAGGAGACAGTGAAGACAGGAGAGGTACGTTAGCTTTAGCCTGGAGTTCCAAGTCCCTCACTGCTTTAGTCTTCCTTCCTTTCATCCTGTTATTTTTCTCAGCCCAAAGACAAACCAGTGTTCATTCTTCAATGCAGATTTGGTAGGTTTCAGTCATTTCTTCTACGGACCTATATTCCATGTAACTAGTTCTAACCTGGTGTTATCTGTGGCAAACATATTGTCACAGTCACCTCACAGAGCATACTGCCATGTGGGCCATGTTTTGTGACGGTGGGTTTTCTCCTTCTCCACAGAAACATGGCTTAGTTATAATCCCCGATGGCACTCCCAATGGTGATGTCAGTCATGAACCAGTGGTTGGAGCCATCACCGTGGTGTCTCAGGAGGCTGCTCAGGTCTTGGAGTCTGCAGGAGAAGGTCCACTAGGTAGGACACAGTTGCTGCTCTGTTGGCTTGGGTTTACTGTTCTGCTAGACTTCCGGCTTACTCATAGCGCATCTTGGAAAACAAAAACAACACAGGGCTATCTGAGGTTTAACTGAATTCTTCACGGGAAGAAATCTGGGCACAGTGTCTTTAGGCACCCTTGAACTTGGGAAACCAGCATCTGGGTCACACTGTAGGGCCTCTGGATGGAAGCATGTTGGTGTATACACATTGCTTTTTTACTTAAATACAAACCTTCCTGGAAGAGATAATCCAGCGTATGTGTCCCAAGGAACCGGTGGGCTGGTAGGGGACTTCCCCAGGTATGTTTTAAGTTTCTGCTTCCTGGAGAATCTGGTTTTATGCTCTGCTACTTATCCCGGGGTCCTGTAGCTCTTTGCTACCGCATTTCTTAAGGCAAGAAACAGGTGACCAAGAAGTCAGATCTTAGAAGAGTTTTCTTTCTAGAGCAGGGCTTCTGAGCCTCTTAACATCTAAGCCTCTTAAATGTAAGCCTTTGAGACTTTAATAACACCTCTCCCAGGAAACCACACAGATGCCCATCCATTGGCTCCATGAAGAATTCTGCTCTAGAGGAAGGAAAACACAGATACTCTAACACCAGCTCACTTTTTTTTCTTTTGTTTTCATATATGCGTAGGTTTCCTAGAGGAGTGGGACTTTTTCAGAGTTAGTAAACACATTCTCCGATGCACAGAATTGCAGAAACAGAGCACTTTGATATAGCAGAGGATGCGGGCTAGGCAATGGGAGCCGCTCGAGAGAATGCACTGAGTGTGTGGCTGGGGGCAGCCCTGCTTGCTTGGAAGGTACTGGGGAAGCCAGCACTTAACATTTGGCCGTGACCCTAGTTGGTTGTGGGAGGCGCTGGCTCGGAGTCGCCTGCTGCTTGTACTCATCTGTGGTCCCCCTCACCCGGAGGGGCTTGTGTTAATGGCATGCTTGGGAAGCAGCGGCCCTCCCCCCAGGCCAGGAGCAAGCCCTGGCAATCCTGCAGCAGGCCTCAGATTAGCCCTTGACTGCCTGCACCTCCGAGTTGGGCCCCCGCTTGCCTGTGTAGGCCTTTGCCTCTTCCGTGTTGTGTTCTCATTTTCCCTGTTCCACCCTCCCCACCCAGGCCCCCTGGTACCCCGTCTGTCTTCTCTCCCAGATTTTGTTTGCTCCTGTGAGACTTAAATCCTTGGGGGCACCCCAACATTCTAGTTGTCTGTCTGCTGGTGAAAGCTTGCACATTTTTTTTTTAAAGATTTTATTTATTTTTCGACAGACAGCGAGAAGAGGGAACACAAGCAGGGGGAGTGGGAGAGGGAGAAGCAGGCTTCCCGCTGAGCAGGGAGCCCGACGTGGGGCTCGATCCCAGGACCCTGGGATCATGACCTGAGCCGAAGGCAGACGCTTAACGACTGAGCCACCCAGGCACCCGCTTGCACATTTTTGAAATAAGGAAGTGATCTTTGTACTTTGGTTTGTCTTTCAGTGGAAAATCACTGCCCTTGGGAGCAAACGTTGTATTTAGTGCCTTGATAGCTATCTGTTGTGTGGAAATATGTGTTGAATAATTAAGTACTTTTCCTTAGCACCTTTAACTTAAGCCTTCATTTCTTTTGATATTGAAAGCTGTAAGTTTATCAGATAATGTATGGTGTTTTTGAATTTCAAGAATAATTTTTAATTGTTTTGGTATTATATCCTCACAAATTGAGTTTACAACCTTTTCCATTTGTTTTAGATGTCAGGCTACGAAAACTTGCTGGAGAAAAGGAAGAGCTACTATCACAGGTAAAGGCATTCTTCTCACTGGAAGGTAATGTTAATTTAACGGACTAAATAAATCACATGGCAAAACATTAGCGAATTAAAATATACACAAGAAAGAAACATGCTTATTTCAAACATCAGTACTCAAGATTTGAAGGACAAAAAGATAAATTCATATTTTGCCTCTTTGTTGTTTCCTGTTCTTTAAAAAAAAATGTATCAGACGTGGAGTTTAAGGAGTTAAATAGTGGTACGAAGCTTGTTGTCAAGACAGGAGTTCCGTGCTCTGCCTCCTCACGTTTACCCCTGTCCATTCCGATTGGTTTAGCCCATTCTCTCCATGTGTCCTGTTCTTGTGTATTTCTGTCCCACACGCTCACGTTGCTTCTTGATGGTTCTGTTTGGGGCACTGTTGACATCCCTCTGTGGAAGATGACCATCTAGCCTTCTGTCCCCAGCACGCACACCCTTCCCATCCCCTGTCCTCCTGGTGAAGGCCCGGCGCGCCTCCCGTCTGTGCGTGTTCTCAGGACTTGTGCCACTTGCCGTGGAGCCCCACAACATTGCAGGGCCACCTTCCCTCCTCTTCACAGCTCTAGCTCCCCTGGAGTTAATCCTGTGGCTTTTCTTTTCCTCTGCTTGGTTTCCTGTGTATTTATTACCAGTGTAGCTGCCGCGTCTGCAACAGTAGTTAAATCTGCTCTTAGCGTTTTCAGATGCACCAAGTATGCTCTCAGTTCCACTTGCTGAGTTCTTGGAGCATCCGACCTGGCCCACTGGGAACATCATGGCCCACTCTGTCTGCGCCCAGCCGGCCTGACCTTCGTTGCTACCTAGGCTTTCCTCTGTCTTTGGTTCAGGTTGGATTCCCTTTTTGCAGTGCCTTAGGCCTTCCTCCTTTTTTATTTGTTCTCTTTTTGGTACATCCCCCAGTAACTTCCTGAGAAAAGGGTATATAGGCTGTGAATTTTCCTTAACTTTGGAGGCCTGAAAATGGCTTCATTTTACCCTATTACTTGATTAACAGTTTGGATATAGAATTCTACATTGCAATCATTTTCCTTTTTTTTTTTTTTTTTAAGAAATTGCTTCATTGTCTCTGGCTTCCAGTATGGAAGCTAGCACGTTGAGGATTTCAAGGGCATTCTGATTTTTCATCTATTGTCTGTGACTCTTTTCCCTCTCTGGCGGCTTATATCATACTTTCTCCTTCCTATTTGGAAGTTTCACAGTGATGTGGTTTGGGCCCCTGTCAATTCTAGGAATTCCTATCGTTCAATCCTGGGAAAATTTCTTGACTGGTTTTCCCCCTTCCCATATTCTGTTATCTCTTTCTGAAACTCCTATTCAGTCATGCGAACGTGAATGAGATTCCACTCTTCAACAGGCTCTATTCCAGGCATTTGGCATATTTCTGTGAACAAATCAGTTAAATAATCCCTGCCACTAGTAGACCTTACATTCTAGTGGGAGGAGACCAGACAATAAACAAGAGACGGAATGAATATGTAAGTTATATGGTATGTTCGAGGTCTGTGTGACCACACTTACTGTACATTGAGCGGCCATAGGTGCAGGCGTGGGTGGGTGGAATGGGATTTTACCCGGGAGTGTAATTGGGCAGAGGAGGTGAAGGCATGTGGAGGACAGTATTGATAACGATGACTGCAGAGATGAAGTGGGTAATGAGGCTAATGGGTAATCCAGGAAGATGTCAAGGCCCAGTGGAAAGAAGATGAGAAATAGAAGTGGGATTGAAAGACTGGGATTTGGGTTCCTGAGAGAGGGAGCTGGAAAGACCAGGAGTAGAGGTTAGAGAGCAGATAATGGGACTGACTCATGCAGGGACTGCACTTAATCGAGTGCGAGATCCAGTATGTGACTATGGGAGAGTAGTGAGGGCAAGAAGGGAGAGACGTCAAGATCCTTGGAGAGGAGGTGTTTTGGAAACTGCCATCGGTTGTAGGAGAAATCATCTACCTAGATGAATCTTGAAATTGCTCAGGCTATACTTGAGGGACCACAAGTCAGGAGGTAAATGGTGAAGGAGTGGGGCGATGGCAGGGATGAGGGGTGGTTGGTATGTGGAATTGGGAGGGGAGGAGGTCAGGAAGCAGGAATTTTAGGGAGCATCGAGGGAGAATAGTTGGGCAGCAGCACAAAAACAGGTCATGTGTCGTGTTCTCAGGCTCAGTGGTAGGAGGGTTCTGGGAGAGATCACCAGAAGGTCAGAGGGCTGCAAAGGGAACAGGCTTCTCAGGGGGGAATGGGTTTCTGCTAATGCACTAGGTAAAGGGACCACTTAAGAGAAGAAACTGAGGATGAGGGGAAATAGTAATCCAGAGTTTCAGGCGTTGGGAAGGGTTAGAAGGTGCAGATGGGGGTGACGGCTGTACAGAGCCCTTTGGGGAAGAGTGTAGGAGGATGACTGTTTTTGAGATGGACATGATGATGGGGATAATGAAAACTCAAGGCAGATGTTGAAAGGGTAGAGGTGTCTGGGAAGCATGGGTTTCCTCCCAGTGCAGAGCTCGCCCTTCCCCACTGGGGATGTGGCCCACTTGGTCCTAGTGCCCAGGCTTTTCCTTGACCACTGTTGATGGGGTCCCAGCTAGGGAAGCCCCCTTAACTCTGAGCATCACACTCACCCTTGACCCTCGATGATGAAAGGCGAAGGAGGCCTGGGGAGGTTCGGTCTTGGTCCCAGAGGCAGCTCCCCCCTGTAGTTCTGAGCTGTAGTGCTCCCCAGATCTCTGCTGATAAAAGAGTTGTAGGCATTCGGGGAAACATGGCTCTGATTCCTGAAGGAAGGGGCAGTAGACCTCTGGGATCAGCGCTTTAACTTTTTTGTTTCTCTCCTGTTTGTCCATCCCTTTTGATCTCTTTTGCTCTACTTTTAAATGATTTTCTCAACTCTGTCTTTGAATACTTCCATTGGGTTTGTGTTTCTGTAGTCATTTCCAGGATATAGATATTTTCACTTACCTCAGAGCATAACTGATAGTTCGTCACTGTTCTCTGCTGTTTCCTTCCACATGCATAGTTTATTTCCTAACTGATGCTCTTGTATGTGTATTTGTTTGGCCCTACGTTTCAGGGCGGGATGGGGAGTACTAAAACGCTGATAGGCAGCTCTGAGCATAGGTAAGGCTGAGGGGGCTGGGTGTTTTGTTGGGAAATTTTGGCGTGGATATGTTGGTCTTTACGTTAGACTAGGCACACAGTTCTACAGGGAGACATCCCCCAGTCCTCTCATGCAGAGAGCAGTCTTGCTGGCAGCATTCTGGGGACTGAGGCTGGACTGGGGGCCTCAGCGTCAGTACGCGTCTATTCATCTGCTCTTGTTCTCCGTGTGTGCGGGGCTCCTGTCTCCATTGGGCCTTGTCTTTTCCCAACCCTGAGTCCCTTTGCATTTGATTCATTTTTAGTTTCTTCAGTTTGCAAATGAAAAAACCCCCACAGCTTTATTAAAGTATAACTGATGTAGAATAAGCTGCTTGTACATAAAGTGTACAAATAAATGTACCTACCATATTAGTTTCTGAGGGCTGCCCTAACAAAGTACCACAAACTGGGTGGCTTAGAGGAACAGAAGTTTCCTGTCTGCACAGTTTTGGAGATTAGCAAATGCCCAAGGTCGGGTGGCAGCAGTGTTAGTGCCCCCTGAGGCCTGTGAAGGGAAATCTGTCCCACACTTCTCTTCTGGCTCCTGGTGCTTTGCTGGCGGTCTGTGGCATTCCTTGACTTGTGAGTAGCATTCTGTGTGTCTTCACATCATTTTCCTCTGTGCGTGTCTTTCTCTCTTCATCTGGCATTTTTTTCAGAAGGACACCAGTCATGTTGGATTAGGGGCCCACCCTATTCCAGCATGATCTCATCTCAGCTTAACTAAATGCATCTTCAGTGACTCCGTTTCCAAGTAAGTTCACATCCTGAGGTACTGGGAGTTAGAACTTCAACATATGAGTTTTGTAAGGACACATCTCAACCCATAACAATACTCTTGAAACCATGACCACAGTCAAAATGGTGAAAATATTCATAACCCCTCCAAAGTCTCGGTGTCCTTTAGTGTCCCTTCCTTCCTGAGCCTCCCTCTCCCCCCGCACCTCCAGGCAGCCACTGATCTGCTTTCTGTCACTGTGGATTAGTTTCCATTTTGTGGAGTTTTATGTAATTGGAATGATATAGTACGTCCTCTTCTTCTGTCTGGCATCTTCTACACAGCTTGCTTATTTTGAGACTCAGCCGTGTTGCACATATCAGTAGTGCTTTCCCCTTTCGTGCTGGGTAGTAATTCCACTGTGTAGATGTGCCATAGTTTGTTTGTCCTCCTGTTGGTAGACATTTGGATTATTTCCAGTTTGGAGCTATTATGAATAAGCTACTATAAACATCCTTTATTTTGGGTAAAATAAGGTAGATCAACTGTGTAGCCAAACTCAAAAATATATTTCCAATTATTTCTGCATACAAAAGGTTTTCTAAGTATTTAACCTAATATTTAGGTGTTAATATTTAATACTTAATTTACTATTTTCATTAAATTTACTTAATATTTAATTGACTTCAAGTTTTAAAATATTTAAGTTTCCTAAATATTTAACCTACAGTATTTACCCTAATTCTAAGACAAAAGAATTTTATTAAAAATGGAATTTTAATAAAAGTAGTGAAAAACCCTGACAAGATCTGCCATTCCACCAGCCTACACAAATCATAAAATAGGGCTGCTTTGATTGGGACACCTGGTCCTGGAGCTTCACTCCTTCTGATGTTCCCAGTTTGTCGCTAGCATGTGGGCAGTGTGGCCCCGTGGTAGGCACTCAAGTTCTGGGCGGATGACTTGTGGGGCTGAGGACCCACCGTGTCCTGTGGATCTCGTGACGGCCCTCTCCTTCCACTTCAGATCCGGAGGCTGAAGCTGCAGCTGGAGGAGGAGCGGCAGAAGTGCTCCCGGAGCGAGGGCTCGGCGGCTGACATGGCGGGGCTGCACAACGGCTCCGACCTGCAGTTCATCGAGATGCAGAGTAGGTACCGCAGCCAGGCCAGGGCCGCTCTGTGGGGAGGCTGTGTTCCAGGAGCGCGACTGCAGGCACGCCCCCGGTCTTGATGCGCGTTTCCCTCGGGGAGCCAGGTTACAGAGATTGCTTAGTCCTCAGCGAGCCCAGAAAGTAGTCCCGATCAGTGGTGCAGCCGAGTAGAGGCTTCTAGTAGCCTCTGCACTTCAGGGAGTGGATTACAAGAGGACCGGGTTAATGCAGTGATTTCTAGACATTTTGGAAACAGTGTCCTCCTGGCACTGTCCTCTTCCATACCTGGGTCAACTGTCAGCTCCCATACAGCACCCTTCTTAACAACATTTTTCTTGTGGAATCTATCTTGGATAGTGAACGGATGTATTTGGAACTAACTCACACTAATGCTGAGTAGTTTCAGAACTTTGCCAGAAGTGTTATTAACCAAATTAATCTTTATAGCTGGAATTTAAAACAAGGCCAGAAAGTAAGCCTATTCATGCAGTTTTTCTCCCTTTGTTTTTGACCCCACGTTGTTTTAAAATGCCTGCTGTGTTTACAGTAATCTCCATGGTGGGGGGAGGTCAGCAGCCATTCATATATAGTTAGATAACGTATCGTTTGTGGAGAGGGGAGACTTACTTTTTATTCAGTTTGAATTGTGGCTTTTCTGATAACTTATTTTAAAATATCGGTTATTTCCTGGCTTTTTCATCTAAATATTTTTGCATTAGGCTAAATAGAAAAGGCTTCTTGGATTAAGGCTTATTGATACTATTAATACTGGCTTTTCAGGTTAGTGTCATGTCCTTTATTAGAGATCATTTGGGACCCTCGTGACACTTCCTGTTGAATATTTTATTCTAGAAGTACTTTGGTGTGGAGGATAGATGAAGATGGGTATGAGAGGCAGACTGACTAGCTGGGAGGCTGTAATGATCAGCTGGACCAGTACAATGGCTGCCAGCAGTCTTAGAGAGAGGGCAGGGGTAGACTGGCCTAAAGCAGCAAAATCCAAAGGAGTCACACTGAGGGAGAACAGGCATGTCTTAAGTGTGACTGCTCCTAGGGCAGGTGGGCGTTATGGAGCTGGTGTCTGGGAAGGACCCAGAGTGACTGCAGAATGAGGTGGGCTCAGGGGGACCCAATAGACGGGCCTGGCTGGCAAAGGAAGCCGAGGGATATAAGCATGGTGTGATTGAATGGAATTTCATGGCCAGCACGAAATGGCAAAGATGAAGGAAACATCATCATTTTCCTTGAAAACAGGAAGGAAAGGGAGGTTTGCCATGAGAAGGAAGCAGCACATTGTGATAATTAATAAGTGGCTGGGATGAAGAATTAACCAGATCCTGAAGCTTGTGTTTTAGAGCCCAGCAGTAGGAACTCTTGTCTCTCTCTGCCAGAGGGGCTTTTGGGGTGAGAGTTTTATAGCCCCATTACTTTTCAGGTGACAGTAACTACCCGTGAGAAGAACCTCTCCCTCAAAATTATATAAGTAGTTGTAACCTCAGTGATGTGGAAAAGCAGAAAAGTTCTTAAGTTAGATAGCTTAGATTTGGTTTATCTCCTTTAGGCCTTATGATTCCTACCCTATAATCATTTCAGAGTGATTTTTGTTAAATTTGGTTTGCTGGAGGGAGTTTTTTAACTTCTCATTTTAAATGACTTCTTAGGTCAGAAATACAACTGATGATTTAGAAGTCTACCCATCATATTACCACCACATGTTACTGAAAAGCATTTCTTTGAGCAGATGTTTACTAAGCACATGCACACAGCCCTTGGCGAGATATAGAGGTAGACTGAAGAAGGCAGAGCCAGGGCGCCTCTCCTCACGTACAGTGTTCAGAAAGCACGAGTAGTGTTAGCAAAAACAGTGCCAATAAAACGCCACGGGGAAGGCGAAGTTACAGGGGACTAAGCAAGAGTCATGCCGGAGGGTGCCGAGGACTTCAGTCAGAGGCAGGGAGAGCAAGACCCTCAAGGTGTGGCAGCCAGAGGGAGCCCGGAAGGCAGGAAGGTGAGGGAAACTGGAGGCTCCTGGGGGAAGGGCAGCACCTAAGTTTGGCGGGGGCCACTGATGCACTGACAGGGCTCCTTGCTCAAAGGTCGGCCTCCCCCCACCATGGGGTAAAGAGTAAATTTTCTTCCACCTCCCTGGTCCAAGGGATGCTGGGATCAGGTGCTAGAGCTTCTGGCAGGAGAGCCGTTGTAGAGCCCAGGTTGCGGGCGGTGCCGTGGCCGCCCGTGGGCATTTGCGCTCGGTCCCCTCCTGGGCTGCAGAGGCTGTCACTGCCTGAGGTCACACCTGCTCTCTGACAGGTGATTCACTGTTCTCTTCTCTTCTAGGAGATGCCAATAGACAAATTAGTGAATACAAATTTAAGCTTTCAAAGGCAGAACAGGATATAGCCACGTTGGAGCAGAATGTAAGTACTTCAGTGTGCTACCAAGTGATTTGCACTCCCTTGGAAACTTCCTGCACCCGAGTGGCTAACTCCAGGAGTACCTGGGTTTCTTTGGGCTGCCTCTGCAGTGGGGTCTCTATAAAAGCTCTCTATTATAAAGTGCAAAAGCCAGCAGAGAAAACCTGGCAGGACACCTCAGCCTTCTGTTAGCTGTAAAAATGCAGAAGACTGTAGCTATAATTCACTTTTTTCCAGATTATTTCCAAGAGACTTCAGGAAGACTGTAATTTGAAAATCCCTTATTGTACATTTCAAAAAGTCTAAAAGTTTTTCCATTTAGTGAGTCTTGCCCTACAGTGTTACTTTGGCACTTAAACAATATGTTCATCATAAACTTAACATGAGAAATCGGCTCGATAAGGACTCTCCAGCTGTATTCCTCTCTGGGGACATTTCTTGATCTATAAATAGCCGTCGGGCGCAGAGAGGCCCTCTGACTCACCGTGAGGGGATGACTTGGGATTTGTAATGACGCTGTGTTTCCATGTGGCTGTGAGAAAGGGGCCCCCGGTGGCCATTAGCAGAGGCCCGTGTTCTCTTGTTGACAGATCAGCCGGCTGGAGGGCCAGGTGCTGAGGTATAAGACCGCCGCGGAGAACGCCGAGAAAGTGGAAGACGAACTGAAGGCGGAGAAGAGGAAGCTACAGCGAGAGGTACCTGCTTTTGCATGCTCACATTCGTACAAAGAACAGATCCTTCGCCGCCTGAGGAACTGAATCCTGGTTCAATCTTAAGGGAACCACAGTGGAGTCTCTTACTCTTCGGTGTTGGTTTTCGACCTGCGCGGTGACTGCCATTTACTTTTAGGTTTCGGTCAGTTAGAGACTGAGAGAAGGGATAGGTCTCCCTTTTGTGGTGGAGCCGGTTTGTTTCCCCACCTGCTGGCTGTCCTTTCTGGGGTTGAGGCTTAGTGTCCCTGCTGGGTGCTGCCAGCTGGCGGAAGAGAGGCGAGGCCGCGGGGCGCCGTGTGGGGCGTTGTGCAAGGCCCAGTGGGCGGCGCTTCCATGTCGCAGGCGGGGGGCGGGGGCACACTCAAGTGGCACTGGGTTTCGTGTGTGACCATGTAAAGTGACTGGGCCCTCCCTGTCTGCAGTTACGAACGGCACTGGACAAGATTGAGGAGATGGAGATGACCAACAGCCACCTGGCCAAGCGGCTGGAGAAGATGAAGGCCAACAGGACAGCACTTCTGGCCCAGCAGTAGGAGGCTGCCCTCCGGCCCGGGCGCCGCTCCTGAGGCCCCTCCCAGAGGGACTGACTTTTTGTTCATTGACACAGACCCCCCTTCAGTACTGTTGGAGTTTTGTCATTAAAATAGCCACCTTTGTATTTTATAATTTATGAGAATGAAACAGGTTTGAATCTTCATGAATGAATACTCTGGATTTCGTTTGTAGTTTGATTCTAGACTAAGAACTGGTCCATGCTGTTTTTTGGTTTTTTTTTTAATTTCCATAATTTTAGAATCAAGTTTACTCACCATTTTTCCCCAGCTGCCTCAGTGACTGGGCACTCGGAGGCCTTGGCACAGGTTCCGGAGGACAGCGACTCTGTGAGTGCCCAATGAGGTAACTCGGCTGGAGACCTCGGAAAACACAAGTGCCTTCTCCACGGTGCAATTCAGACTTCAGTCATCCCCAGCGGTCAAAAGACACTTACCCTTAATATCAGATAGCATTTATATTTTAGTGAAGAAACAAGTTCACAGGCGGGGAATATATGTTTCACTCAAATTTCTATGTTTGGAGGAAAAAGCCTTTTTTTGTAAAATATTTAAATTTATATAAGAAAATGTTAGAAAAAGATATGGGGAGTGTACATAAAACTTGCTTTATTGCATGTGGCCGGGTAAGTCCAAAGCCTAACACTCTTAAAGTAAGAGTAGGGCCCTTCGTCTTCAACATCAGCTGTGCTGTATCTCATGTGAAGTATCTCATCTGCTGCTGATTTGTGGAATGAAACCTCAGACGAGCCCGGTGGGGGGCGGGGACAGGCAAGGGGGAGGTGGGCCTGAAGACTCTATTAAACGCACCCTCTTGCTGACCACAGCTGGCTGCCGACACATTCATTTTTGTTAGGGGAGTCTTTAAAACACCTCAAGGCAGCCACACCCACCCCTCTTACCTTGCCCCTCTTCTCTCCTCCGCAAGGAGAATGATCTGGAATGTACAGCTTTTTAAGAACTTCGGTCAGTTTCATCTTTAAAGGCACCCAGTTCAAGGGGCTTTTATCATCGAGTGTGGCTACTCTGCAGGATTTGTGATTCTCTTTTGCCCTCAGAATCAAGGTGGTTTTATGGAGATGGTGGGCTGTTATCTTCAGAACAAATGCTGGGGGAAGTCTAATGAATTAAAGGCACATGAGATAAAGTTTAGACTTCAAACTAGATGCTAAAGCCAACTTGAATGTGAAAATCTCTACAAATTACCCCCTTCTTCAGAGCAATGAGCTTTGTAGTTCCATATTTTATTTTTAAAATACGGAAACCACTGTCCTGAATGGAGACCATCCTCTCATTCTCAGGGACTTGTCGGGGTACTTTATCCCAGGAACAGGAATGGGCATGAATGGATGAGAAAGCAAACAGGGAGTGAGGATGGGAACAGATGTCATGT